GTGGCTGTGGTGACTAGGTGTATATTGATGGTAATCGTGACTAGGTACACCTGGAGAGTAGAGGTGACTAGGTACACCTGGAGAGTAGTCACTTTGACTGGTATACTTGGAGCATAGTGACAACTAGGTACACCTGGCAGGTAGCGGTGACTAGGTACACCGGGAGAGTAGTCACTTTGACTGGTATACTTGGAGCATAGTGACAACTAGGTACACCTGGCAGGTAGCGGTGACTAGGTACACCTGGAGAGAAGTCACTTGGACTAATATACCTGGAGCGTAGTGGCAACTAGGTACACCTGGATGGTAGTGGTGACTAGGTACACCTCCAGGGTAGTCGTGACTAGGTAAACCCGGAGGTAGTGGTGACTAGGTACACCTCCAGGGTAGTCGTGACTAGGTAAACCCGGAGGTAGTGGTGACTAGGTACACTTGGATATTAGTGGTGACTAGGCACACCTGGAGAGTAGTGGTGATGAGGTACACCTGGAGTAGAGGTGATTAGGTATACCTGGATGGTGGTGGTGATTAGGTTCACCTGGCAGGTAGTGATGACTAGGTACACCTGGATCGTGGTGGTGACTAGGCACACGTGGCGAGTAGAGGTGATTAGGTATACCTGGATGGTAGTGGTGACCAGGAACACCTGGAAGGCAGTGATGACTAGGTACACCTGGAAGGTAGTGGTGACTAGGCATACGTGGCGAGTAGAAGTGATTAGGTACACCTGGATTGTGGTTATTAGGTACACCTGTGTTGTGGTGGTGACCAGGCCAAGCTACAGACTGTGCGACTACATGGAAGTGAGAACTGAAGAACACTGCTGAGCTTCTGCATGATGGAAAACAAAAGGAAATGCTGAAATGAATGATTCTTTGAAGTATTTATTGTAAAATATTCTATTACCAATAAAATTGTAACAATGGACGGATTTTGATTCTTTAATCATGCACGCTATGTATCCTTGGAATGTCACATGTGGCTTTGTCCACAGAAGCCTGCTTCAAAACACATAATATGATACACGTGGATGTTTACTTTGGTGAAAGACAAGAATGCATATACAATACTGACAGCACATTTGTTTCATAAATATATAGCTGGACACAAAAATATATCTTGCCACAGGCATACCTGTAACTAGTCATATATACAGTCATGTAACATTTCAAATTCAACAAAAACAGTAACAGATATAACAAGGCAGAAATGAAAAGCTTAGATAACGCTATAGATGGTAATAATATGTCACTTGGTGTGGGGCGGCTTTAGGGTAACAGAGATGTCACGCAAAAACTGACCAAGTCAGCAAGTCTGACCATCCCATATATTTAGTCAAGGCTCAGAATAAGATACTGGTGACATATTCCATCCTGGAATCCTCTTAGTGTTCAGTTGTGGGCGTATTTACGATTAATCACAGCGTTTAAAATTCCCGCCTGCCACCGTCCGGAACAAATATTTTTATCTCGGACGGTCAAATTTCAAAAGGAGCCTGTCCGATAGTCTGGTAGATGTTTTTTACCCCTAACAGTAAATATTTCATAATATCAGACAGGTTCTCTTGTCGTCAGTTTGAGGTGTTTAAGGTATTATGATAATTATGTTAAACTATTTACGATTGGACAGTTCATTTTACAATAACCAATCACAACACATGTACTTTCAGTTTACCTAAACTCGGTGCATTGCCTGTTAGTGCTATGTTGTTCTCTGCGATGCCTACAAACAGTAAAGTATTCAGAAACCTGATTTTTTTTTTTTCATTGTTGAAAACCGGACAGGCAAGTTTGTATCTGGACTGGTAATTTTTTAAAGTTACCAGACCGGCTGTCTGGCTTGGAATTTTGGCAGTTTTAAACACTGTTAATCACCAATACATGTAGTTTAGAACAGCCGTCTAAACTGTGTGTAACAATGTATATGACACAACTGTACATCACTTGTGTCACACATATTGTACAACTGACTGACTGACTGAGTTTGGTTTTACGCCGCTTTTAGCAGTATTCCAGCAACATCACGGCGGGGGACACCAGAAATGGGCTTCACACATTGTACCTATGTGGGGATTCGAACCCGGGTCTTCAGCGTGAGGAGCCAACGCTTTAACCATTAGGCTATCCCACCGCCCCCATATTGTACAAACCCCCATGGTGATGGTATTGATTGTACAGAACATAAAACATAGTAATTAACACAATCACAGAAAATGGAGCTTGGTTTTAACACCATTTTGAACATTACTTAAAAAGGTTAGGTACATCGTGGCGTGTTAATTGTGGGGTGAGAGCTTAAGTGATACATGTAATAGAAATGAACCACCTTGTGAAACCCTTGAGCATGGTATTATGCTAAAACACATAACACAATCAGGGCAACCAGAATTCGAACCAATGATCATAGGATGCTGGTGCAACAAAGGGATGCAACTCTGCAGGCCCTTTGAGGACTGGGCCACCTGTGCCCCAGACACAACCACATATCATCTGAGACAGTAAACATTTCACATAACAAGCTTGCCACAAACTCAGTAAGCATGGAAAATATATTTAAAGTAAACCATGTACAAATGGTTTTCCCTTGTGGAACTGACAAAGATGCTTTGTAGAATGCAAATATGTATCTCACAATGACACATGTGTATATTAATAACATAAATTGTATATTAGTGTAAATTCCAAATAAATATATCCTTCATACAAAAATAGTCTCTTTTCTTTCCTTTCATTCAACTGATACACACATCCATTATCTGTCAGGAGAATCAGTACAAGTTTACATGAACCCAGGTGTACAGATTTTCTCAGCAAATAGATTCTGATGCAAAATTATAGGGCGTTTGGCTCAAAAGAGGACCGATGAGGAGTGCAGAGAAAGGGACAGCCAGGTGTTAGAGAAGCATGTGCACAAGTGCCGACAAAGTTATTGATTCATTAACCTGTGCTGTGCCGTCTCCATCCTTTCTCGCACACCCGGCTGTCCCTTTCTGCACTCCTCCCTCGTAACAAATAGTGAACTGTTTCGATATTTTAATGATAGTTTGTTAAACAACTTTTTTATTTTTAGGACATAAATTCTGCAAACACCTCTCAGAGTTGGTCTGACGTTTTCATTATGATCAGTGTTTCATTGAGCATTTTATGTTTATAAGTTTTCGAGTTAGATTGCAATTCATCGGTCCGCTTTTGAGCCAAACGCACTATAGTCGGTTGTATCTGTCTTGATACTCCCTTGTCTATATAAAGGCCATGGAGGTTGTTCAAACCGACATAAGGATGCCTCTTTAATAGTACCGCCTCTTTAATAGTACGCCTGAAAGAATACTCCTATAACATAACGTGATACATATCAAGGTAATTTGTTTACTATACTATTTGTATCACGTGAAAACAGTGTGATATATTTATAATACAATGTTAATTTGTTGTTAAAGGTCACTCTCTGATCCGGAGTCTCGAACCAGATGATCCAGTGATTGACATCATGAGCATTCACCTATGCAATTTGTGTAGGATCACATGCATGAACCAAGTCAGTGAGTCAGTGGTCCTGTTGGTCGCCTCTTATTTTGCCGAAACTATTCCTGCTGAGTCCATCACTACATCAGGGAACAACAGCCAACACATTATACAACTTGTGGAGTTTCTGATCAACAGGCATTAAATATACATTGTGTGTCAATACACTGATATACATATGAATCATATCTTGATTGTACCATTTCAATATTTATCAATGTACACAGGATCATTCTTCTTAGGCTAATCACAGAACTGGGCCTAGATTTTCGAAGCTCTCTTTGTGCTAAGATAGTTGTAAGTGCTATACATTAACATTAACTTATGACTATCTTAGCGCTAAGAGAGCTTCGAAAATCTAGGTCCTGGCTTTGCAGGACATTATGCAGAGATGCCAAAGCCAAAGTGCTGCAAATAGTAGTTTCAAGGATCAAAATTAGTAGTTTGACCATAAAATATGTAGTCAACTAAATACTTAAAATCATGATGTATTCTGATCGAGATAATACGACACTAATCAAGAGTGAAGCTTTAATTTCACATACCTCCAACAGCAGGTTTCTAAATTATCAGCATTACATTTCTTCTTGTCGTCTCTTTTAAGCAAAAATGTATTTAATCTACGAAAAAATATGTTTTTGTCTATTCGAATTTTAATAAATTTTCTTCAAATTTCGTAGAATTTCTAGTGCCATCGTATTGGCATAGTATGAGGCTAAAATTCATAGCAACTACAATAAAATCATAGAAGTTGGCATCTCTGCATTATGTTATTGTGTTACATGACACACTGCTGGGTGTTAACTTTCTTATCTCATCCAACAGGCAGTCAGAAAATAATGTACCAGCAACAGCAAATTACAGATGATTATTTTGTTAGTTACCTAGTTGAACTAGTGAAAATAGCTTTACCTATATCAATACCTTGTGGATAAATACAGTTGATACAATGTAAGACAAGAGTGGAGAACTTGATAATGGCCTCTGAGTAGTCATAACAGTATTGCCAGAATCCTGACTACATTCGTGTCCACTTCAAGAATCTGACATACCAACACTTCGTCACTTTAGCACCTATGTGATAACTGTATCTCTGTGTCGTTGTTTGGAGGGGAAGCATCATTATCACATGATTGAGACTTAGCTTGGCGGCCATTGTCTAAATTAAGCTTGTCTTCAAAACATGACTTATACTTAGTGCACAGATGCATATTCAGAAAGAGATTAGATTCACAAAAAACAAATTTGTCACATCAAAATTTCACGGGTTTTGTACTCACAATGTTCTTCAATCATTAGTAAATACATAGGGTGTGGTAGGTATAACTAACTAATGCATCAAGACAGAGCCTGGTTCGAGTGAGAGAGAAAACAATGAGCACTCAAAGAGTGTTCAGAATCGAGCCTGAACCAGACAATTCAGTGATCTACGCTATTGGGATATGATGAAATGCGTAAACCAAGTCAGGGAGCCTGACCACCTGATCCTGTTAGTCGCCTCTTACGACAAGCATGGATTACTGAAGATAATTCTAACCCGGATCTTCACGGGTTAGTGTCCCAATACCCATGAAGTAATGACAACGAATCTGTAAAGTAGCAATAAGTAAGCACACTGTGCATGTCTGTTTACAACACAAGGACATCCAAATCAGTTCATAGACACTATGTTAAGTGTAGCATCAGTCAATAAATAGTACAACCCTCTCAACCTGCTAAACCTTCTTCAATTTGGCATCAGTCAGCAAACACGATGACCCTCTCAACCTGCTAAACCTTCTTCAATTTGGCATCAGTCAGCAAACACGATGACCCTCTCAACATGCCCAACCTTTTTCAATTTGGCATCAGTCAGCAAACACGATGACCCTTTCGACATGCCCAACCTTCATCAGTGTTGCACCAGTCAACGAACGGTACCTTCAATGTGAACTAAAACTACAACCGTATTCACTATTGTATCAGTGCTCCTCCAAGCATTGAAGCAATTTGGTCAATCTGTTCATCTCTCATGGATGCCTCTCTCCTCTGCCTGCTTGTCAAGTCATCCCCATCCTCATGGTAGGAGCCTGGTCGGTTCGGTGACGGGAGAATGGATTCTCTGTCAGACAAGTCATCTGCTGTTGGAATACTGATCTCCAGTGCCGGTACAGGAGACTTTGGTTCGGGGGAGGCAAGACTTGGTGCTGCCCCACCCTCCTCAGCAACAGAACTCAGCTCCTCCACCATTCTGTTGTTATCAGCACGAGGACTAGTCTGACCATTCAGATACGGTCTCTCTGGGCTTGTGATTCGGTCCTGTTGGGGACCTGGCTGGTGCGTGTAGGCCATGGTGGGACGTTGGGAACCACCAGGAACACGCAGCTGAGATGCAATCTGAATATACTCAGTCTCACCTTGTGTGTTACCAGACTTAATACTTGGGCCTGACCCACCAAGAGGAGATCGCATCAGCCCCTTGGCCACCATGGCCTTGCCAGCAGACTTTCCAGTTCGTGTGTCGCCTGCCTTGTGTTTGACACCAGGGGAGACAATGCTGAGATCTTTGACTGTAGTGCTGGGTGCATGAGACTGGACTGACACTCTCTTCCTCACATGCTCACTGGACTGACTGGCCCTTGACTCACTCCTGCTAGCACTGTGGGGATGTTTAGGCACGGACACGTTGCCGTCATCACTACGTTTACCCTCGATCCTCTTTGATCGATCCTTTTCACCAGAAACCTTCCTGTTGTCATCAGAGGTTTTCTTCTCTACTGCAGTCTGGAGAATTTCATCCACAGATATATTGTTCAACTTCTCATCTTCTTCTTTTGACCTTGGGTCAATGGAAATTACCTTGATGCGACTAAGTCGAGACTCTTTTGTATCCAAGCCATGTATTTGTGGTCGTTGGCGGTACTTCACCTGGTAGCCATCGGTTCGGGGCACCCATGGCCTACCAGAAGGGGAGTCTTCAGGAATCAGCTTTTCAAACACAACCGGTCGCGTTTCACAAAGGTTCTGAAGAAAAAGAGGACCATGATCAAAGACCAATATCAGCATTGTAAGCGCAAAAACATTTCAAATTGTTCTTTAGTCAAATAATATAAGTGATTATAGGTTTGCTGCCTAATTTCACATCACCATAACTAAGCCATTGCATCAACTATTCCATAAACTCAATGATATGATTAAGACAATACATCTTTATACTGGAGAACAGTGCCATCATATTATCACTTGTTTTGGAAGTGTCATCAGCATAATGTTTTGAAGAAACTTCTAAACTTTATTAACACTGGGTAGGCAGTGTATTTTTTAATTAAAAAGTGTTTTTATCTAAATATTCTGTCACATGTAAACAATATTTTGAAAATGATACCTCAATGACTGTATCCAAGAGACTTAAAAGGCATTTTTTGAAAAGGATAAATATGCCAGTCCCTAAGTAAAGAGCTACTGGAACGCCAACGTTCAGAAAGTCTGTACACTTACCGTCCTCTCTCTCTTGAGAGGAGGTGAGCGAGGAGAGAGGATCCTGACCCCATCCTTGTTTATCTGGTCTGTCCAGCTGAGCGGGATGATGGGGAGGGGCTTCTCCTCAGTCTCCTCTATCAGGTCTTCAATATCCTGGGTCATTCTGAAGGTCGAGTGCAACTGGTTATGCACAGTAACTATGAATATTCATTTTCCAGAAGTTTTTATACCAACACTAACCCACAGAATAATAAAATGAGGATTTTGTTTTGTTTATTATGTGATTTTGAACAAATGATCATAGATCATAAATGATGAAGTTATCTTCAAAGCATATGCAGCTGTGCAGAGTTATCTCCCTTCATCTTAAAGTTTGGCCACCACTGTGGTCTAAAGCACTGTCGGAAATAGAAAAAAAGAAGTTTTTAGACTGTTACTCTGTATCCCTAAAATTTACACAACTGCAACTGCAAAAGCATATGTTGAAATAACCCACATCGGCCTAACTGGGCTTTCAGTGGGATGAGTAATAGGATATCCAGAAAAGCATGTTTACTCGGAAAATCGGGCAAAACTTACGAATAAAAATAAAATATGAATAGCTGCTGAAAACAAAAGATCAGACTATAGATGGCAATTAGGTCGCTCAGCCAGGTATGACGACGGACCATTGAGTCACCTGGCATGAAATGCATGTGCTGCCCACAGGCACAAGGGGTCATCTCAAAGATATTTTATGTGTTTTCATGTGTATTTAATGTGTCTCCATTGATGAACACTGAGATTGTAGTTAGGCCGAACTTAGTTTAACAGATATTTCACACTTTCACATATTAACTACCTAAATTGTAGACATAAATGTGAAAAAAACCCAGTACTTTAGTAGATCCAGTATCTGCTCAGGGAGCAAAGGTCGGCTGTTCAGTCCCTGATCATATTATACCAAAAGATGTCAGCAAATGGTACTTCTTGTTCCTCTGCCTGGCAAAGGGATAAGACAAGGACTGGTGGCTCGGAAATCAATGTAATGTGCCTGAGATGGGTATCTGTGGTCCAGCACACTGTACTGCCAGCATCAATTAGGTTCCAACAGATACAAATACCAACATTCATAAAGTATAAAATGTGTACCCCACATCATGGAGAGATCAAAAACCCTATTGGACTTACGTTTGTGATATTTGTCAAGTTTACAAATGTTTAAGTGTATGAAAATTTTAACCATGCTTCAGTAGGCCTAGACTAATGATAGTTTCTGAAAATATAAATCTCTGAGAGAAACAAGTAGCTCCATTAATATTAAAAAGGAGCAAAAGTAGAAAGGGAGATTCAGACCTGAACTTGAACAATATCTAACTGGCTTCATTTAGTGTGTTTGAGTGAGTGAGTTGGGTTTTACGCCGCTTTTAGCAATATTCCAGCAACATCAATGCGGGGGACACCAGAAATGGGCTTCATACATTGTACCCATGCAGGGAATCGAACCCGCACCTTTGGCGTGACGAGCCAACACTTTAACCACTAGGCTACCCCACCACCAGCGCCCCTAGTGAGTTTGAATTATCGACTGTGCTGGCCAAACGGAAATAATATGGTTTAGGGACTGTGAGACAGAATACTGGCTCTCAGCATTTTATGACATCTTGCAAACTCTACCTCACTCATTCACAATTTACTTACATGTCCATGTTGAGATCAGCCATGAAATCAAACTCCTCTTCGTCTTTGACATCCTTTTCTGTATCTTTTTGTTCTTCCATTTTTTCTTTCTCTTTTATCTCTTCCTCTTTCTCTTCCTGCACAGTCTCAACTACTTCTTCCCTGGCCAATGCAGACTTCTTCCGAACCTTCAGGTCATTGGACTGAACCACGCCATTGATTCCGATGCGGAGTTTGTCTCCCCGTTGCAGTTGCTGAGCTACACGACTGCCGATGTTGCCATCTATGTTGTAGTATTCATCCTCACCTCGGTAGCCTGAAGGAGAACACTTTCGTGAGGACAAATTTCATCTTTCTGCAATCTAATACAGTCAAATCCCGATGAGTCGAATCTCTGGGGACCAAGTAATAAATTCGACTTATCGATGTATTCGAGACATAGGTATGTCTATGAGGGTAGAAAAAAAGATGTTCCAGTCCTAATTCCTCCGCTTAAGCATGTGTTTATCTAACGATTTCCCTATCACTAATAGGGGCACCTTATCAGTTCCAGTCTGATTAGCACAGACAGTGATTTCCGTAAAATCACTAATCTGCCTTTTGAACTCACCCGTCAAAGGCGGAAAGGTGAGAGCCGGGCAGGTTTGTTAATTGGATCAGTTTGCTACACCAATCAACTTCTCATTGACTGACTTCGGCTTATGTATACAAGATTGCTGTTGTTTGAATCTCATGGGACCAAAGTTTCTTCTCGAGTCATCGTGTGTTATGAGACGAATTTGTGTAACCGGAAATCAAATGATGACAACTATAACAGGGAATGGTCAGGACCGACAGGTACTTGGAGTTAAGCACAATATTCGAGACACTGGCATTCGACTCATCAGGATTTGACTGTACTTTCCTTGTTCAATATAAACAAACATTATTCATGCTTGTCAATTTAGAAATTGAGAATTTATTCAATATTTCAAAATATGGACATCTAAACACAAATCACAGTGACAAGCTACGTAATTTTAATATGTGTAGCCTTATGATTTACAAGAAGGGCGCACACTAATTTCTTATCTGTAACCAAAACATATTGAAGTCAGTTGTAACACATAAATAGAAATGTCATCTGAATAACTTTAGACATAACTAAACACAATAAACTAGTGACAACAATATGAATCAGCAGAATAATGTAACACAAGCCTACCCAGTCTATTATTAATGAGGAAATAGTAATCTGTTAGTGGGCACTCCCTGATATTTTTGACTGTTCATATAAACATAACTGAAACTTGTTTGCTTGATTAGCTAATAAAATGCCACAAAACCACTTGCAATTATTCCTGCTTATTTCAAATATTCACAAACTTAAAGATATGTTTATCTAATTACTAAATTACAAATAACATTGATTGCAGGAAGTTGAGGGTATCATGCTGTAAGTGCATACATCTGTGCATTTGGGCGACAAAGTCAACTATTGTCACGAATATAAAACTATAAAATATAAAATATAACTATCATCGATGTATGACTATCATCATAAGATGTATACTTATTAACGGTAGATCATTGTTCTTAATTTAATGAGGGGCTGCTTGATAATTTCCATGTGTATATTATAAGTAGTCATTGTATGTGATCTCTCATAGCACTATAAGGAACCAGAGGCAAATGGGTTACCTCCCTTACCCTATCACAATTTCTTATATCCAGAGTCATGGTGCCTCTTCCCTTTCATAGCATGCTAAGGAACCCAAGGCAACTGGATTACCTCCCTTACACTATCACAGTGTCTTACATTTCCCGTGTCATATGGTTGTGAGGGGAGATATAACAGATTCTGTCTTTTCAATTTAGAGGTTTGCAATCATTACTTTGGAACCTCATGCTTCAGTGTCCAGTTTAAAAAACTACAGCCTGGCATCTACATTATTTATGGCGCATATCTGTTCATGATGATGAATTCCTTCCTTCGGTCCCAAACTTAGGGCCAGTTCAAAAGTTTGACGTCAGATACAAATCCTAATTCCTTAAGACTCCTGAAAATTTGGACATCCGACAAAATCAACTTACCTAATTTGTCAATGTTTTATACAGAACCTAAACTTAACTGAGCTTAGTTTCATTCATATGTTGTTAGGGGTTTTACTGTTGCCAGGAACAGTGTTAAGCAGGGCAAAATCCCACTGTACTCACAAAAGAGGCCACTAAACTCCAGAATTCAGCAGCAATAGAGCATATTTTTAAGGGATGTAGCGTCAGGCCTCAAAAATGGGGGAATTCAGTTATTTATCCTACTACTGAACCAGTCCCTCACTTTGCAGGTTTACTTGCCAGTCCGATATCAACTAAGTTTGGACCCAACAATCCAGTGATTGACATCATGCGCAATGACCCACACAACCGCCACTTACTAGCAAAGGCGTCGACTACTCCTTTATCTGAGCCTCCTGGAGCTCCACCGAACGTGAGCCAGGCATCCAGGGAGGTGGGTACAGACTCCGCCTTCTTCTGTCCGCGGATGAACTGACCCTGGTTCAGGTTGTTGTTCTCTGGCAGCCAGTGTTGGTGGATCTGCTCTGTAATCTCGCGCTGTGAGCGACTCGTCTCCAGGAGGTCCCGGGTCTACTTTTACGACCATGTAACAGTCAGTCGCAGGCTTTGCACTTTTGATTTGACCTGAGCAGAAGTGAAATTGATAGATAATGCAGTGAAAATTGTGAAATGAATCTAGATAAAATTTCAAGTCTGGTTCATTGAGGTATCTGAGTTTATTTATCACTCAAAACATTAGTTTTACGCCACTTTTATATAATTTATAATATTCCAGCAACATCACGGCAGGGAACACCAGAAATAGGCTTTCAGAAATGAAAAAGATTAAAAAGTGAAGTCAAATGTTTTCTATAATTCACATAAACAACAAAGAGTGCTAAGAAAACAGGTGTTAAATTATCACATATCTGAGTTGACTATATCATCAAAAGCTGAATGACGGTTTACCAGTTGTCTTTGGACGTTTTGCTGACTTTACAGTTTTCCTCTTTGCTGACTGTGGTTTTGTTGACTGTGACAATGAGCTGACCGGCCTTCCATTGACCTCAACTGTAGCATACAAAAACAGCTGCGATCATTGTCCAAAAAAATAAATATATCTTCACTGAGTTCAAGTCAATATTTAACATAAACCTTAATTTTACTACGGTTTATACTTAATAACTACATTATTTGCAGTGAGTCCTGAACAAAGTGATACAGTAGGTAGTTGTTTACAGCCTTGGAAAGCACCCAAAGTACTGGTAGTACTCATAAGTTTTACTCCAAAATTACATATTTTCCTTATCCTGACTCATGCTCTTTTGCTTGTGGCATCCCTGAATGAACGGAGGTGGGAATATCTAATACTTTGGATTTTTAATAATTAGTGATTTGAACTGTGATGATTGTAATAACCCTATGGGAACTTCATAAAGGCACTGAACTGATGAATTCCTGCTGCTAACTTATCAGCTGCCATATAAAGGTTATTACCATGTAACTATTATGATAAAGTATATATAACATTAATGCAATGCTTAAGACTAATAGACTTAAGCTTGTTAATATGCTTAGTATAAACTCCTTAGAGTTTGTTAGCTAAAATACTTTAAGATATAACATGGTACTAAGCTTAAGATATGATTAAACTTAAGCTAATTATATAATAGCAAACTCTTTAGAGTTTGTTGGTTAATATACTTATATGATATAGATACAATGCTGAGCTTAGATATGAATAAGCTTTAGCTACATATATAATAAGCAAAACTCTGTAGAGTTTGTTAGCTAATATATTTTTATAATATGAGTATAAGTACTTTATTGGCAAGCTATAATTAGCAAGCTACATATATAATAGCCAAACTCTGTAGAGTTTGTTAGCTAATATATTTTATAATATGAGTATAGTACTGTGCTTAAGCTTATAATTAACAAGCTACATATATAATAGCCAAACTCTGTAGAGTTTGTTGGCTAATACTATATTTATATAATATTAGTATAATTACTGAGCTTAAGATATAATTAACTTCAAGCTACATATATATAGCAAAACTCTGTAGGGTTTTTGTTAGCTAATATATTTTTACAATATGAGGTATAGTAGTGTGCTTAAGATATAATTAACTTAAGCTACATATATAATAGCAAAACTCCGTAGAGTTTGTTAGCTAATATATTTTACAATATGAGTATAGTAGTGTGCTTAAGATATAATGAACTTAAGCTACATATATAATTAGCCAAAAACTCTGTAGAGTTTATTAGCTAATATGTTTATAGTGTAACCATAGTACTAAGCTTAAGATAAGATTAGACTTAAGCTAAAGTATATAGCAAAATAAAGCTCCTTAGAGTTTATTAACTAATATACTTTTATGTTAAAAACATGAGTACTGAGCTTAAGTTATGATGAAACTTAAGCTATATATATATAATAACAAAACTCCGTCGAGAGTTTTGTTAGCTAATACTTTATAATGTAAACATACTGCTTAAGATATGATGAAACTTAAGCTAATTGTATGTGAAAACAACCCCTTTAGAGTTTGTTAGCTATGATATAAACCTAGTATTGAGCTTATGAAGGAAAACTTAAGCTACATATATAATAGCAAGAACTCCGTAGGAGTTTGTTAGCTAATACATGTTATAATGTAACCATAAAGCTTAAAATATGATGAAACTTAAAGAAAATATATAATAGCAAAACCCTCTTTTAGAGTTTTGATAGCTAATATACCTATATGATATAAACATAGTACTGCTTTAAGATATGAATAAGCTTAAGTTACATATATAATAGCTAAAACTCTGTAGAGTTTGTTAGCTAATACATGTTATAATATAACCATGTGCTTAGAAATATGATGATACTTAAGCCAAATAGCAAAAACTCTTTAGAGTTTGTTAGCTAATCTACTTATATGATATAAACATAGTACTAAGCTTAAGATATGAATAAGCTTAAGCTACCTATATAATAGCAAAACTCCTTAGAGTTTGTTAGTAAATATATTTTAATAATATGAGTATAGTACTATGCTTAGATTATATAGTAGCTTAAGTTACCTATATAATAGTAAAACTCCGTAGAGTTTGTTAGCTTAATTAACTTAAGCTATGTATAAAATAACCAAAACTCTGTAGAGTTTGTTAGCTAATACATTTATCAATGTAACCATAGTATTACTCTTAAGATATGAATAACTTAAGGTAGGTAATATATATAATAACAAACTCTGTAGAGTTGTTAACTTATATATTGTATGATGTAATAATCATAGTACTGTGATGATAAAAGGAACTTAAGTAAATTATACATGGCATGAAGCTATTTAGTATTGTTATAAGATAAGTAAAATCTGTTAGATTGACTTATCTTCTCCGAGGAACTGTCAGCTGTTGTCTGCGAGGACCATGGGATCGAAGTGGTGTATACCTGAGAGGCGTCCTGGTGGTGATATCTCTCAGATAATGGTTTGCAACCACCATATCGGTTTCAGAAATAAACCCTCCATTATTTCAATCACATTTTGTGTAGAACAATTGTAGAAGTTAGGCTATAATATCATGAGTATTAAAGCTCATGGAGGGTGGAATAGGTCCATCCATGTATGCGTGGTATGACAGTTCTGATCCAAATGGAGATATAGTACATGAGACTTCACTCTGGCGTAAGTTGATGATAGAGGAAATAATCTGTTGCATTTTTTCCTCCTGTTTGGTTTTGGTGGAGATAAATTTACAGTGCTCTTGCTGGCCAACTTGGATAGAATCATCATACGTGTATCATGGGGTCCAAGTATGTCATCCAGGCGTGTTCATAAACCTCACTTGTGAGGTGTTGGAACACTATATTCATATCCCCAGGTTGGGTGAAATTTCCGTTTTATTCTCCAAACAGAAGTTTAGTAGGTTTACTAACCATCTAGTTGTGTTAATGCGGCTGATGAAATTCAGCTGTAGTCTGAAGCGCTGTGGATTTAGATCCCCACTTGTATCTTCGTCTAGGTAATTAGCTCTGCGAAGTCCTTGGACGATGTAGGTGCACAACCAGGTGTGTCTGTCCCTCGTTGAACTTTATGTAAAAATCGCCTGACTGCCGATCCCTCGTCTTAACTTGACAGGGGAGGTCTCTAACTTGAAGAAGGCAGTCTAATCATGAATGTTCAGGTTAACTGGACTGTAATGAGGCTTGCTCGTTCACTGATATATAGTTGTCACTTGTGGCGTAAGTCTTGAACTGTGAATTGAGATCGACCTCTGTGTAGGTCGATTTGTCCCTCTCGGTCCAATCAGAACAAGGCATTTTGATTCTGTATAATACCCGCGGCTGTGATGTCACGGTGTAGCGGGGAAAAAACCCACCTTGAATAAATTCTTGTCGTGCGTTGATATTAGCATAAGCGTTGGGTCTTCACCGTAGCTTCCGAAGTTATCCGAGTGACCACGTGTTTCGAGGGTTAATGGTATTGTCGCTGCGAAACCTCCGGCCTTGAAATATCTGCAGCGCTCTGTAATTTTATGCTGGGTAGGTTATTTTCCTGGTTATTCGTGAAAGTAATTTCAGTTTTGAATATAATTCCGACTTCCATATATATAAGGGTATAAACAACTTGCAAGTTGTGAGCTTGTAGACTGTATACATGAATGTATCGTCATAATTGTAGAATTAACGTTGAACTTGTTGTACATATTTCTTCTCAGAAACTTTGGCGATTAAGAGTTATACTTTCGCTGTAACAAGGCTGCTGTTCAATTTGATATTGAATTGTCTGCAGATATGCGTAATGGTCGCATGTAGATAATCATTATCGTCGTCGGGGATTGTATATTAGCAATTTATCACCGAATAGTTGATTTCTGTGAAGATCTATGAAATGTCGTTGACTAATAATACAGCGGCGTTCTGTGTTGTAAATAGCCTGAGCAATTATCTTGGCGTAGGCTTATAGGCGGCATCTGGCATACAGTTGATAATCAACTTATCGGCGTCTTGAACGAACTGACGAGTAGCTATATATGGCCGAGTGGCTAGTATATGGAAACCTTGGAGGAGACTTCCTCGGTGAGCGCCGGAGACTTCGCGAAGTTCTCGAAGTATCCTTCTAGATCTTCTGGGTGAAGTAGACTTGGAGCCACTTAGCCTTTCAGCGACCATCGCGAAAGGTGTCGAGTCAAAACCCGATTAGTATATATATATATATATAAATATATATATGAGCTTGCTTCGTGAACAGCCTCTGTGTTTAACAGGATGTGGGATCGTGGCGCTTGCCTAAGTAGGGCCGCATGGATCATCTTATCATATTCAGAAGTGGAGTATTCTGAAGTCTGGTGATAAGTGTCTAATTGATCGTTCTAGATCTATTTAGGCCAGCGAACATCACGCCTCGCCATGGATTCAACAGAACCAATATAACGATTGTAGTTCTTATACTTGATATCGATGATCAACTTGTCTATGGGTTGATCTTCGGAGACTTGTGAGGGAAGCGTTGATAGTTTCGTGAAGCTCTTGTATAGTCCCTCGATGTCCTTCTAGATGATGATGATCTGGATTCAGGTGTCCTTCATGCGCATGCCTTAGCGGCTTCCTCTGGCGTCCGGTCGGGGAGGCGGCGATATGACCTTCAGCTTCCGTCGTGATGTCTGATGGTCCGAGTCCACATCTAGGGATGAAACGCATAAGGGTGATGATCTATCCTGCCTCGAAGTCCGCGAAGGCTGTATCTAGGTTCTTTCCGCCTTCGCGAAGGCTGTACATCTAGGTCCTTTCCGCCTTGGCTGAAAGCCTTGAAGGCTGTACATCTAGGTCCTTCGTCAAGGTGGTCCATTGACTTCCTTCAGCGAAGGTGACATCGTCCTGGCTGCTGCTCGTTACGCCGGGGGTGCCTCTGGGGTGCTGTTCACGTTGGAGCCTTAGCGAAAACTTCGGACCCTGCTACCGCAGATATAGTGGTCCTCCATGATGTTCATAATTGTATGGCATCATGTCTTCTGGGATGGTTCTGCGACGAGTCGTCGGTGCTTTATCTGGCGGTGTTAATGGAGGGGTCCACCGGAAAATCGTCCGACATCAGTGTAGAGGCATCAGGCTGCATGGTGATCTCTGCTGATGTCGTTGTAACTAATCACCGGTCGTTTCTTGTGAAATGCGTCGGGGATGATGATCAGCTGATCGCCGTAGAGGTCCAGGTCATCGGCTGGAACAATCTCGGTTGAGAAAGTCCTAGTAGACCGTTGATTTTCCCTCAGAGGTCAGCGCTGCCCTGGGTGTCGCGGCGTCTGCGTTGAGTGTTGGTAATGATGGGACCCTCAGGGCGATCATCAGCATATCTGCGTTGGTACATCAGGCTGCATGCTGATCTGAGCCGACATCGGTCAATCTTTGATGTACATCTGGTATGATGACCCGGCTGATCATCAAACAGGCCCAAACTGCGATAGAGAGCGGTCGGCTGTTGAGATGTGGTAGAAAAACCCTCTAGTCTTCTGCTGCGGCGATGGGATGTCTGGGGAAGCAGGATGCTTCTTGGAGATGGCCGGACTCGTCCCACACCTCTCCACCACTCTAAGCGGAACACCACCACGGGAGGAAGTCGGCCAACAGCAGTAGACTGGCGAGGGGTTCGGTGTATCAGTCATACTAGAGTCTGCATCGCAGCGACCTATCTGCTGTGGCGTGCCAAGCGCCAAAGTAAATATTAATAAAAGGTAGAATTGGATAAATTAGTACGCAACTGCAATGAATATAATAAACATGGCCGTACATCATATTAAAGGCGGATCAGCAGCAGCATAAAAGCGTAATCTGCAATAGTACAGAATTTTCATCAGCGTAATCCACTGAAACAAACCACGGCGTCCCGTGAATAAACTGTAGAAAAGCGACTAAATATCAATATATAATCGTTGAAGGATACTAGCTAAACCTCTATAGATGTCTATCACGAGGGTAACTAACTAAATATATTTCAAAGGATATAGTGTGTCGGGAGACACAGGCGCTCTCACGTCCAGCTCACTGGGCGAAGAAGGAGAGAGTGAGGCACATGGGTAGAGGTGGCGCCCTCGTTCCCGAGCTTGTGGAAAGGAGGTAACTCGTGGTGAATACTAATTAGTGATTTTAAATTGAAGGGAGCTTCAATTAGGGAGATACAAGTGTTCCACTATGTTCGCAAGAAGAAGAAGACAAGCAAAAAGAGCATGAGTCAGGATAAGGAAAAATAATAGGGATCTGAATCCATGATCAGCAGATTCTGACACTACAAAGGTAGACAACTTTTGAGAGAGAATGGAGGCCATCTATATCGTTCAGCCACCTGTGCCCAGTATCATAGGTATAAGCCTAAAAGCAATCTGAGAAATTCTATGAGGATGAATTTTGCAATGTATTTTATACAACTATCGCCAAAAATATTGACAGCTCTTACTATTAATCTTCTGAAGTTTGTGACAGTTTTCATCTGTTGAGTACCGAGATGACTTTGCCTCCTTGGTGGAGCTGAGACGATGTTGCGAGCTTTATTGTACAGGTTGTGTATGTAGCGATGTTGCTCGGTGATGATGTCAGTTGTGGATCTGGCACGGTAGGTGCGAGTGCCAGTCAGGTCGACATCCACGGTCCGACATGACAACACAGGCTGCGCAGGTCGGTATCGGTGTTTACTCTCAATGTCCCCTAGGGGGCGCTTCTGCAAGAGAAGAAGAAAACAAGTTGTAAATGACATTAGTTTCAAGCACCTGCCCTTAAATGTACAATTACCATTTTGTAAATGGAACAATACAAACTTACAATTCGGCAAATAATTCAACAGGTCAGCATTTTTACAATCATTACCATTCTGACTACTAGACTATATCTCTCTTAGTAAAATAATAGCTTTAGATACTATCCTTTCCGACTATGGCATCAAACTTCATTTTCGTAATTTTACTGGGTATGTTTTCACTGAACCAAGGGTAGATGGGGTGAAACATGTGCACAGGTGATTGCTATGTGTGGCTCAGTTTATGAGACAAATACACAAGGTAAATTATCTCTCCATAATACAATGCCTAGAACACACAAAAAATACAACTGAAAAAGTGAAACATCACTTCTAGTGATGGCAAATTTCTAATCCTTACTGACAAAGTCGTTTTTGCTTGTCCATTAACATGAAACAATATGATGTCAATTTTTTACACTCAGAAGAAAGTTTGATGAAAGCGTAACCTTTAAAGAAGTCGACCCCTTTCTACAGAATGCTTTTTCTGGTCCTCAAACTCCAGACTGATCAACAGTTGTAATGTAATAACAATCAATAACTGGGTGGTTAGCAGGATTTCACACATCAATTAAAGATGTAATTTTTTAAGTAAAATTGATATTTTATACTTATCCTGACTCATGATCTTTTGCTTATCTCCCTTTCCCTTTCGAATGGTAGTGGAACACTTGAATCCCTTGAAGTTCCCAAACCAGGGTGTATAAATACACTCACCCACGAGTTACCTCCCTTGCCCTTTCCCGCGCAAACGTGTCTATACTTGTCTCTCCTTATTTCCAGCCCATGCACTTTTATACACATATTTTTACAGAAATGTATACAAAATTGAAATGTCCAAACAGTCCACATATTTTATGAGTGAGTGAGTGAGTTAAGATTTAAAGTCACATCGGCAATATTTCAGCCATATCGTGACTAACATATTTTATGAAACATGCTGAATGTAATATGAGGCATTCACTCATTTTCCTTCCACATATCATTATGACTTGCATATAGCATGTGAGCCAAGTCTCGGGTGTTTCATTCCCGAACTACAACACTGTGTCAGAGCATCGTGAAAATGTTCCCGTACAAATGAGTCAAATTTGCAAGAAAACACTAAATCACAATGCATATATATTTCTTTTGCCTGTTATAACATTGAATGACCTAAGTGGGCAACGTGTAGTTTTTACTGTTGGCCGTGGCCGTAGCAGCTAATCCCACTAAGACAACAGTTTATCTGGCTGGTGAGTTGTCCCGGGACCACTTGACCCTCGTGTCATCCTGTTCAAATCATGACTTCCTGTATCACGGAAGTCTGCTGCATATATACTGCAATGCTACTCCGGTTCAACATTTTTATCACCTCGCACTAATTCCTCCTCCAGTTATATTCGTCTATAAAGTGAGATTCTGATTTTGTCCCTTCTTTTTATCAACTCTGTCAAAGTGCACACTGAAGAAACCAACGACTTTTCCCTGCCGCCGCTTGTTTGAGATTTTTAGACTACAGCGCGAAGAGGCAACAAATGTTATATTTGGGATTACACTTTCTCAGATAAAGTACAGATTCTAGTACTTTTGATGGGTTCAGTCGAATCCCAGATGGGACTCAACCCAACATTGAAAGTACATGCACTAGAAACACCTCACTCACCAATTATCTGGCTATATGATGGCAGTTTGTAAGTAATAGACTGACTGACTGACTGAGTTTTATTTTACGCCGCTTTTAGCAATATTCCAGCAATATCACGGCGGGGGACACCAGAAATGGGCTTCACACGCTGTACCCATGTGGGGATTCGAACCCGGGTCTTCGGCGTGACGAGACAACGCTTTAACCACTAGACTACCCCACCGCCCCGTAAGTAACAGAACCTAAATCAGAAACTCCAGTGACTGACAGCATGAGCATCAATCTACACACTTGGGATACGACGTCCATCAACCAAGTAAGCAAGCCTCATCACCCAATCCTGTTGCTGGCTCTAACAACAAGCATGGGCTGACCTCTACCTTCATGGGTGTACAGTCTTCAACATTATCATTAATCAACATGAAAACATTATTACTGTTGAAAGAAGCTTGCTCCAAATTTGTGATTGTAATAGTCATGAAAATGGATCAAGAGTTTAGTGACGGTTCCCTGAAATGTGATAACTGGAAATATAAAAGTGACATAGTACATGCAGTATGTTCATTTCAACAATTATAGTTGTGTTACACAGGTGTTACAAATAAACATTTTGTGTGAAGCGTGTCAATCATTTTCACACAAGCTGTTTTGGGAGCCAAAAATATTTGAACTCAGCAGACTCTCTCCCTGACAGATATTCTGGAATTGTTGTGAAGACAAAAAACTGACCAAGAGCTAACATAGCACCACATACTTGTGGAAGGTCATAGGCAAGCCTGTCCATGGCCCCACAAATCTCTGAGTGCTGTGCCAGTTAGGCAACACAAAGCTATGATCATGGTTCAAATCCTGGTTGCCCATATTAGGTTTCCAGGTTTTTCAACACCATAACCTTGCTTGTGTTTTTCACCAGTGTGGTAACTTACCTGCGTCAACTCGACCTTCCACCTACGTCAAGATTACATGCACAATCACAATGTAAAGGAAATAATGGTAAAACCAGTACCAGCCAACTCACTCACTCACTCACTCTATAAACTCGGTCATTTGCTAATCTGATACACAGCCACATACCCATCTTCTGCTCATTTTGGGTTCCAAGTCCACGTACGGCAACTACAGTCAACAGTCGGCATTACACGCAATATGCAGTGCCTCAGAAACTGAACCTTACGTTGCCTTTAATTATTAGCTGCCAGGGCTCACGCTTTTTGAATAAAAGTCTTTGTACGTTTTCACTAGAACCCAAGTCAATACTGATTCTACTTGTCCACACTCAATGGCCTGATTCCACAATGGCCTGTATCATTTAGTGACAGCTCACCTCAACACCTCTGCATTCATAATGACACCTATATACATATACGGGCTTAAATCCCCCATGTCTGGCCATGTACAATGATACCTACATCAATGGCAGGTGATCGGGGATTTGAGTAGCCAGGCCTGTTCATGCCAATAAACAGCCTGTAACTTTTGTCCCTGAATGAATGTAGACAATATCAACTGGTGGAAGCTTATCCTTTATGGCTGAATGATCTAAAAATGTAGTGTGGTTCTCACTTTGAAATTCTCTCTAATCTACTAGCCCCAGACTTGTAAACAGTGGCGAGGACAAGTCAGTGATTGTAGTCTTCAATGAACAGCAGGGCGGGGTCTGGGGGTGCACACCCCTCTTTCTCCCGATTTTCTTTTCCCCTGAGGAGCATTTCCCCCCTAATCTTTGGATTTCATGATTTATGCGCACCCACTCCCCCACCCCACCTTCTCCAACATCCTGGATCAGCCCCTGATCAGTAGTTTTTGAGGTCTATAATGCTGAAGCTATTCCCAACACTTCCAATTCTTCTACAAACTGGAACTGAATAAAAATGTCAGAAGTAAACGTATTTGTCCTACTCAAGGATTATTAGCTAACACCTCTGAGGTAATCAGGTTTCTACTAGTCCAGCAGGACTTCTCTTAAAAAAAACTGTAGTACAATATTTGCATGACGTCAAACTGTAATGACGTCACTGCCTTGGTAACCGACGTCAGGATGCATGTCAGTTGTCATCGCCTCGTACAGCCTCCTACAGTAAACTCCATAGCACCCCCGTTTCTTGGTTTGCAGTTGCTTCATTCGGCTAACTTCACTGGTGGAAATATTGCGTTTATGTTTTTCGACGGATATAATGTAACAGTTCGACTCACAATTAAACAGCGACACGGTAACGTTCGCAATGTTTACATTCCCGCAATGCATTTAAGTTGTAGAATGAATGAATTCACGTGTTTGTTATGAATGAAAAAATAGTTACGTCAGTATGTGACCTAATTGAGAGGTCATCGGTTATCCAATCAAATCGTTAGAATCTCAGGTCAAGTCGTTACGACACAGGTCAACGCGATACTACACTCATGTGACAATCCAGTGATCAACATCATGACCATTGATCTACGCAAATTGAGATACAATGACACGTGTCATCCAAGTCTGACCACCCAATCCCATTAGTCGCCTCTTACGGCAAGCTGGGGTTGCAGTAGACCACTGTTCTTACCCGGATCTTCACAAGCACAACACTACACAAGACTTTTTGAGCCATGTTTCATGATACCTGAAGTAAGCCACAAGTTCCTTTGACAAGTTCCTTTGATATTAAATGTATTGTATCGACATGCTGATCCAGTTTAACAGTGACCGTGTATCTGCATCTCTTAAGATATATTTGGGTTAAATGACACCAATTCTGAAAGGGTATGACGATGAAATGAAAAACACTGGAAACACAGACAATAAAATGTTGTTCTACACATAAAAAAACATTCTCAGCACTACAGACAGGAAACAGACTATCAGGAATGGGTTTCAGTACCACAGCAGGCTCATGTTTGTCCTGATGGGAGTTTCTGTGTAAAACTCAACGAGGTCTTGAGTAGGACCAGAAACTTGGAAATCAAGGTGGACCACACACTGCACCAGTGAGGATTGGGCATTCTGCATTACATTACATATGCTTTGTTGTTATAGATCCCTGACAATGGAGTTAGAGCAGAGAATGAAAATCTCAAATGAGTGTCTTCCATGATAAAAATATGAAGAGGTTGATAACAGTTTTAATTTGAATATTAACTGGGTTTGATGTGGATATTTTTACTTTTAGCAACATCTCTTGATATATTTGAGCAAAGAGTGAGTGAGTGAGTGAGTGAGTGAGTGAGTCTAGAGCTTTTAGCAATATTCCAGCAACATCACAGCTGGGGACATCAGAAATGGGCTTCACACATTGTACCCATGTGGGGGGAATCAAACCCG